CATTTTAAAGTTACAGTAATTAAGACTGCATAGGCTTGTGTTGGGACTGCAGAGACCAGCCACTAGAACAGAAAGTCTAGGCCGAGGGGAGGGGACAGTGAGCGATGACGCTAGTACAGAGACCAGGATGCACCTGTGCGTCCAATCCCCCGTCACTGTGTCCACGCACCTGGTGCACCAGACGTGCAGTGTTCAGCAAATAGTTCTTGATTCCGTGAACCTGTTACCAGAATGCTCTTCAACTGAAAAGCGAATCTTCTGCTCAATGAAACCTGCTGTCCCAGAACACACGAATGTATAGGGTTTAAAGCAAAGTTTTAGAAGACCCTGGTTTTAAAGACCTCATTCCAGGCTGGGGTGCACTGGTGAGTTCTGTTCTGAGACACCCTCCGATGAAGGATGGGGAGTAACAACCGGGTGTTGAGTCCTCACCAAGCAAACAATTTGAAGGCACTTGTCAAGGAGGAAAAACGGCGGCGGAGTGAACGGAGCTACACAGACCGTCTCCCAGAACCAAACTGGAATTACAACTATAACACAGACAAATCGACGGGAAAAAGCAACAGAAAAGCAGCTTGCGAGGACCATACAACGAGGGACACCGACTCCATCCCGGTAGCTTGCGAAGGCGCGAGACGGGGCTGGGAGCCCACGGTCGGCAGCTCGGCAGCGGCCTCAGCTGGGAGCAGCGCCCTCGGGTCACACTCCCAGGCGGCCCCACAGCGCACCCCCGGGACAGAGGCTGAAACAGCCACAGCCACTCACCTTGGGCTCCAGCAGAGGGAGGGCGGACTGGACTGGAGCTGTGTCGGGACACTCGGGGTTTGGAGGGCGCTCAGAGCTTTGGCTGAGTGCAGCCACTCAGGACGGTGGCCACATTGCTCCTTCCCAGGGCTCTGGGGAGAGGCAGCAGCCCCTCCCTCGGAGATCCAACCCCACCCTGTGGGCCATTGAAGTGCTAATTGAGGCTCACTAACAACCAGCATCTGCCCCACCCTCGGGAAATCCCCTTGTGCTGAGCACCTGAGGGAGCTTTTCAATCAACTGACAACCCAAAACTCATCAAGTAACCTAGACTGCTAGCCTCCAGGCAAAAAGCTAGAGGATAACAGTACCTTTCCTGGGCTGGCAACTTTAACCAGGAAAGTAAGACTTGACAGTGGTGTTCAACGTGGGTACCCCTCGCTCATCTAAACCCAGGAGAGGGAGCCACAAACAGCAGAACACCAACACCCACAGGGAGAACTTGACAGGCTCCAAAGCCCACAGTGATAGCCAAAATGGTGAAACACAGAAACAGAAGCCAAATGAAAGAGCAAGACACCTCCACCGAAGATGAGATCAATGCGGAGCAATTAGGCATGTGAAGTCACTTGTCATATTAAAATATGTAGCCCAACAGACTTGAAAAACATGGTAGAATACAAAACAGCTCTGAGTTCTCAGAACAGTCAGGGGGTATAGATTAGAATTTAAAAACAAAAAACAAAAAACCTTCATTTTTCTTTCTAAGCCTGATTCGCCGTCCAATCCTTTACACCCACACCCATTCCCTTAGGTTTAAAGTGCCACCAAATGCATAAGGTTGTTGTGCGCGCATGCGTTTTGATGTTGGGTAAAGTATAAGGAGGTGTGCACATCTGTATCCATACGTAGAAATATCTGCACACACATTTCCTTTTCCAGTCTACCCTGTGCCAGGGTCCGCCGGCTGCCCTGTAACATCGCAACCTGGCTAGGGGGCACCCCACCACCCTCACACCGCCCCCCGGCCAGGCTCCGTGCTCTTACCAACCCCGCCAAGTCCCTCGGTGACCCTATGCCCCTGCGTGACGTATGGGCAGGTCTTAGAGAGCTATGTCCAGGAGTGGTTTCTGTATGTTCATGTGACGGGGGTGGGGTGGGGGTGGGGGTGGGGGAGGGGTGGGGTGGGGTGGGAGGGCAATTTGCCTTCCAGATGCCTGCACCAGGCTCCCCTGCACCATCCGCGCGAGAGGATCCCTGCATCCCCACATCACCGTCCACGCTCCGCAACCCCCAGCCGTATTTTTCAGCAGCTTTCTCGAAGCCCGAAAGACGTACAATAACGTGCATATGTGAGGTGTACCACCTCAGGTTTCACGCTGCTGCACACATCAGACTTGGACTCGCTCAGAAGTGCTCTCGTGGCCTTGGAGGCTCTGCCTTCTAGTCCAGTGATTTCTGCTCTGGTCCATATGTTTTCCTTCTTGTCACCTGGGGTTTCATTTCCCCGTTATACATAATGTCCTAAGTCAGAAGCTGAGTTTTTACATGGAGAACTTTTTTCTCTGCTATAAGCATTCAGGACATTAAATTTCAGCCAAAGCACCCTTCACACGGCCCGCAGATGGAGATATTCTGGCTTTCCACTAAAAAGGTGTGATTTAATTAGCAAGTATTTGGGGCTTTTCCAGACACCATGACTGATTGCTCATTTAACTCCATTGTGGTCAGAGAACATCCTCTGTAGGACTTGAATCTTTTTAAATTTAGGGTTACACAGTGTGGCTGAGTGATGATCCATCTTAATAAATGTCCACACGCTCTGAAAAAGAACATTTCCTACCACGGAGAGCGAGTCTGCACATGTCCGCTGAGGTCGGGCCGGCTGACGGAATGGCGTAAGTGATTCATCTCCACGCTGCTTCTCCGTCTGTTTGTCCCGTCAGTTGTTGAAAGACAGACACTGGCCTTTGCAGTTCTGCTTTGACAGTAACACAGCAAGTCTAGCTTTCTCAACATCGCCGCAGGCCTGTTGTGCCTGCCTCGCCCCTTGCCCCGAGTCTGTGTCCGGCAGGCTTCTTGGAGGCAGCATACAGCTGGGTCTTACTTTTTTTCCACCCGACAATCTCCACCTTTATTTGGGGTGTTCAGACCACTTCCACTTCCAGTGGTTATCAATACGATTGTATGTAGATCTGTCATCTTCCAGTGGGCGTTCTACTCGTCCGATCTATTCTTTTGTGTGTGTGTGTGTGTGGTATGTGCCCCAAGTGGGAACCGAATCTGGGACTCTCTAGTCTCCTGGCTGACGCTCAACCACTGAGTCAAACTGGCCAGGGCGTCCCATCCATTCTTTGGTTCATTTTGCCTCTTTTTCTGCCATCTTTTGGATAAATCGAGCATTTCTTTATGGGCTATTTTATCCTTTGGCTGCTGCTGCTGTTGCTGGCTGATAAGCCGTAACCTTGTGGTTACTCCAGTGGCTGCTGTAGGGCTTACATCTTCGATTTACCAGGTCTGCCTGTGAGGGGCGCTGTCCCACTGCACGCGTGCCGTGAGAACCTGGGCGTAATCCACCTCCACTCCGTTCTTGGGATTCTGGTGTGCTGTCAAATATTTTCCTTCTCCGTGTATTACGAACCCCAAAGTCCACTGCATCATCTTTTAAAGAGATTTAAATAAAGATATTTAAAGAAAAGCATTTTTCTGTTTCCCCACAAGGTTACCATTTCCAGCGCCCTTCGTTTATTCCCGTGGCTCTCAATTTCCACCTGCTTCCATTTTCCTTCTGCCTCAAAGACTTTTCTTTAAAAAACATTTCATTTGCAGCTTTCCTGCTGATAAATTCTTCCAGTTTTTGTATGTCTGAAAAGGTCATGACTTAGTTCTTGTTTTAAAAGATATTTTCGTCGGCATCTAAATCTAGATTGGCAATATTTCCTTTTAGTCTGTCAAGACATTTCTCCACTTCTAGCTTGTGCTGATTCTGAGGAGAAACCTGCCAGCAACTTCTCGTTTCTCCGTATAGAAGGAGTCTTCTTTCTCTGGATGCTTTTTAAGATTTTCTCTTTATCTCTGCTTTTAAGCAGTTCGATTCTGATGAGTCTGGCTGAGAGCTGAGCATCTTGGATCTCAACTCGGGCTCCCACCCGGGGCAACTTCCCCCACCCAGTGACCTGGAAACTACCTCCAGCTATAAACATAGGAAATACTGGGGCTCACCCCTCATCCCCTGTCTCTCAGGCAACACTGTCCTTTGTTTTGAGGTGTCTTGAAACAAATATATGGAAAATATATAATGGAAAATACCGTCTCATATAGTTTGTCCCAACTTTTAGCTGTGTCAGGCAAGATGCTGAAAAAGCATTTGACAAAATCCAGAACCCATTTCTGATAAAAACGCTCAGCAATGTGGGAATAGAGGGATCATATCTCGACATAACAAAGGCTATATATGAAAAGCCAACTGCCAACATCACACTAAATGGGCAAAAACTAAAAGCATTTTCCTTAAGAACAGGAATAAGACAGGGATGCCCACTCTTATTTAACATAATACTGGAAGTCTTAGCCACAGCAATCAGACATGAGGAAAAAATCAAAGGGACCCAAATTGGAAAGGAGAATGTGAAATGGTCATTATTCATAGATGACATAATATTGTAACATAGAAAACCCTAAAGACTCCATCGAAAATCTACTAGATTTAATAAATGAATTTGGCAAAGTAGCAGGATGCAAAATTAACATCCAGAAATCGATGGCATTCTTTTATACCAATAAGAAACACTCAGAAAGGGAAACTTAAAAAAAAAAAAAAGTTCCAATTACCATTGCAACAACAAAACAAACAAAAATACCTAGGAATAAACTTAACCAAGGAGCTAAAAGACCTGTACTCAGAAGCCTGCAGGACATTTAACAAAGAAACAGAGGAAGATATCAAAAAGTAAAAATATATACCATATTCATGGAAAATCAACATCATTAAAATGTTCATACTATCCGAAGCAATCTACAGATTCAATGAAATCCCTATTAAAGTACCAATGGCATATTCCACAGATCTAGAACAAATACTCCAAAAGTTTATATGGAACCATAAAAGACCTCAAATAGCCAGAGCAACCTTGAAAAAGAAAAACAAAAGAGAGCGAGACAGAGAAAGCGGCTTCGGCGGCGGCCGAGGGGGACAAAGGGCGGGCGAATCGCGGGGAGGGGGCGGGGCGCGGCCCAGCCAGGCCCGGGGGCTCCGCATGCTGCAGCTGCCCCCGGGCGCCCCCCGCCGCCCTCGCCGCGAAGCCGTGCGGAGTCGAGCCCACCAGCTAACCGAGCCAACGACCCGCAGCTACCCGGCGGGCGTCCCGGAGGCGGCGGCGGCGCAGGGAGGGGCCGGACACGCGCACGTGGACCCGGCGGCCGCCGTGGCGGACAGCGGCCCGGCGGGGGGCGCGGCGTTGGCGGCCCCGACCCCTGGGCCCGGAGGTGGTGGCCCAGGGCCCCGCGTCTACTTTCAGAGCCCCCCTGGTGCTGCAGGCGAGGGCCCGGGCAGCGCGGACGACGAGGGCCCGGTGAGGCGCCAAGGGAAGGTCACGGTCAAGTACGACCGCAAGGAGTTACGGAAGCGCCTCAACCTGGAGGAGTGGATCCTGGAGCAGCTCACTCGCCTCTACGACTGCCAGGAAGAGGAGATCCCAGAGCTGGAGATTGATGTGGACGAACTCCTGGACATGGAGAGTGATGATACCCGGGCTGCCAGGGTCAAGGAACTGCTGGTTGACTGTTACAAACCCACTGAGGCCTTCATCTCTGGCCTGCTGGACAAGATCCGGGGCATGCAGAAGCTGAGCACACCCCAGAAGAAGTAAGGGTCCTCAACCCAGGTGAACGGTGGCTCCCACAGGACAATCACTGCCCCCTGACCTCGTAGCAACAGCAATACCAAGGGGCCCTGCAGCCAGGCCTGGTGCCATGAGCAGGGCTCCCCTTGCCCCTTGCTTAGGGGCCCCTTCCCTACCCCCTATTTTCCATTTTTGGGGTTTTTTTATTATTATTAAACTGACGGGACTTTAAAAAAAAAGAAAAGAAAAAGAAAAACAAAGTGGGAGGGATCACAATACCAGATATCAGGTTATACTACAAAGCCATTATAAACAAAACATCCTTGTACTGGCACAAGAACAGGCATATAGATCAATGGAACAGACAGAGAACCCAAATATCAACCCAAGACAGTATGCACAATTAATATTCAACAAAGGAGGCAAGAGCATACAATGAAGAAAAGACAGTCTCTTCAATAAATGGTGCTGGGAAAATTGGACAGGGACATGCAAAGAAAATGAAACTAGACCACCAAGGTACACCATACAGAAGGATAAACTCAAAATGGATAAAAGAATGTAATCCATGAAACCACAAAAATCCTAGAAGAAAATGTAGGCAGAAAAATCTCAGACATCATACATAGTGAAATTTTCACTGATACATCACCTAGAGGAAGAGAAACAAGGGGAAAAATTAATAAGTGGGGCTACATCAAACTAAAAAACCAGCATCAAAATGAAAAGGGCTCCCACTCTCTGGGAGAACATATTTGCCAATGATACATCGGATAAGGGTTTAATAACCAAAACATACAGAGTACTCATACAATTCAACAAAAGGAAGACAAACAATCTAATTTAAAAATGGGTCAAGAATCTGAATAGACACTTCTCCCAACAGGACATACTAATGGCTGGGAGACATATGAAAAAATGCTTGACATCTCTAATCACCAGAGAGATGCAAATTAAAATGACTATGAGGTATCACCTCACACCTGTCAGAATGGCTGCCATCAACATATCATCAAACAACAAGTGTTGGCGAGGGTGTGGAGAAAAGGGGACTCTAGTACACTGCTGGTGGGAATGCAGACTGGTGCAGCCACTATGGAAATCAATATGGAGTTTCCTCAAAAAATTAAAAATGAAACTGCCATTTGACCCATTTGATCCCACTTCTTGGAATATATCCTAAGAAGCCTGAAACCCCAATCAGGAAGAATATATGCACCCCTATGTTCATAGCAGCACTATTTACAATAGCTAAGATCTGGAAACAGCCCAAATGTCCATCAGTAGACGAATGGATAAAAAAGCTGTGGTACATATACACAATGGAGTACTATGCAGCTGTAAGAAAGAAAGATCTCTTACCCTTTGAGATGACATGGAGGTACCTGGAGAGTATTATGCTAAGCAAAATAAGTCAGTCAGAGAAAGACAAATACCACATGATCTCACTTATTTATGGGAAATAATGAACAAAATAAGCTGAAGAACAAAATAGATCCAGAGTCACTGAAGTAGGGAACAGACTGACAAACCTCAGAGGGATGGGAGGTGGGAGGGATGGAAAGAGATAAACCAAAGAACTTACATGCTTATATGCACAACCAATGGACACAGACATTAGGTTGGGGAAGGCAGGAGGGGGTGGTGGGAGCAGGGAGTAGGGGATCAATAGGGAAAAAGGGGGAACATCTTCAATACTTTCAAAAAAAATAAAACAGTATAACTTTGTGGAACACGTACATCTTTATGGTTTGAGCGATCCCTTTAAAGACCGTGTTATCACCCTATTTATTCGGACCACCTTCTATGCCTTTTACTAGTGCTTTGCCATTTTACTCTGAGTTTTATGCATTCTTGGGTAAATACATCGTTTGACATACTGAAATCATTCTTGCTTACACATACGTGGTAGCTCCGTCTCATTGTTTTCTGAGTTCCTATTGGTGTAGGGAAATTCTGTTGGCTGTTTTGCTTTTGTTTTGGCATAATTCTGATTCCCAGGCACCTGCCGCCTTTCTCCTGCTTCTCCCAATGTTAACATCCTGCCCAGCTGTAGTACAGAACGGAGCCAGGGCCCTGACGTTAGCACAATCCAGAGAGCTTACTCGTGGTTCGCCCATCACAGAGGCACTTGCGACTGTACGTGTGTGTGGCTCTATTAAATGTTATCATCTTCCACAGCTGTAAGAGGGCAAGCATAAGACTTGCTGCAAGGTTTTGACACACATGGAGGCTCCCCTGCATCCCTAACTTACTGTTAAAAAACTTAAAATAACTGCTGTACCATTTCAGGTGCATGTTCTGTGCTAGCTGCAAGAATTGTTTTTCCTCATTCATATTTTACAGTGATGAACTACACTCATAGATTTTCCAAAGGAGAACTCATCCTTGCATAACTAAAACAGAGGATACTGGTTATGTATTCTAGTTCACGCACGTGGAATCACAGACCCCGCGCTGGCCCAGGCCACCCAGGGAGCAGACGGAGCAGCATGTCCCCGGGGCGTGCTACGCCCCAAAGCCCTGGGCCGCGCCTGGCAGCTTTGGGGAGTGCGGAGCACAGCCTGCCTGTGGGCAGCTCCTCACAGCCTGTCCCAACGAGTGCAGGTTCCCTTCCGGGGCCTCGGGAAGCAGGACGTGGCTTCAGGCCGCCCTGCAGACAGACCTTGACTGTGGGATGAGTCGGTTCCCGCCGGGCGCAGCTCTGAGCAGGCAGCGGCCAGCGGGCCAAGGAAGCTGCCCAGGAGGACTGAGGGGAAGGTCAGTGACGCAGAAGGTGAGTGGGTCTCAGTAAGCCAGCCACAGGGAAAGGGAGATGATTCAGGGCAATCTGGTCAAGCGACAAAGAAGCAATCCATGGTCATGACCCGTGAGGGCCGACGTGCTGCGACCACTAAACTCTGCAGCACAGCATCACACAGGACACATCTCAGGACAGAGCTAATGTTGACTGACTGATTGAGAGAGGGGACGGGAGGGAGAGGGAAACATCGATTTGCTCTTCTACCTATTGATGCATCACTGGTTGCTTCTTGTTAGTCACTGCGATTCGTGCTGCAGTGAGCACAGCGGGGCTACTCTGTCCTTACGACCCCCAGACGTGGGGTTGCTGGACCACACGATAGTTCTGATTTTCTTTTTCTGAGGCATCTCTACACCGTCTTCGATGGCGGCTGCACCGATGTACGTTCCCGCCAACCGTGCACAAGGGCTCCCTTCTCTCCACGTCCTGGTCCACGCTCGGTTTTCTGAGGACTCATCCTAGGTCCTGCCGAAGGTTCGTGTGCCGCCCGGGACCCCAAATGCCAGCCTCCGGTGCTCAGTTGATTTCACTCAATCCCATTTCCCCTTAGGTGGTCATAGCTCCTTCCAAAGCACAGGTGTCCGTGATTGTTCTTGGTGTTCCTCTCAGTGTGGGAAACATACCCCGAGTCAGATGTCACTGGTGTGATCCCAAAGCACAAGACCTCATTGCCACCCTTGAAATGTATCTGAGCCCTGGCAGCTCAGTGGGTGTGGGTTCAGTCCCCGGTCAGGACAGAATGGTGGCTGCCAGAGGCCAAGGGGAGGGAATGAGGGAGTTGTTATTCAAGGGGTATAAAGTGTTAGTTATGTAACATGGGTAATTCCTGGAGATTTGCTATAGGATGTTGTGTCTACAGGTAACAATACTCTATTATACTTACACATCTGTTAAGAGGGTAGAGCTCCAGTTAGGTGTTCTTACCATAATCAAATAAGTAAATAAACAGTTAAAAAAAAAAGGATATGTTTGAATCCTAAAGAGCCAGGCTCAATATGTAGAAACCTTGGCGAAAGCTGCTCAAGGATTAAGAAGGCAAAGAGAAGTCGGAAAAACAGAGGCTAAGATAGAGGAGCCCTTACACTGCATCTGGGACGGTTAAAACACACCAGAGAGAGATGTAAATCTACAGAGAGGAAAGAAGTAAAGGCCAAGAAAAATCTTCGAAGAGTCAAAAGGAAGAATACAAACATCTATTACATGTTTGCTTTAACCCACCTTCTTTGTTCTACATGATATTGAAGTTGAAAACATAGTGAAACAAAACAAACAAAAAATAACAACTAACCCATCTTTTTAAAAAATGTATTCCCTATGCTGTACTTTACATCTCCATGACTCAAGGACATGTTTTATTAATTTTAGAGAGAGAGAGGAACGCAGGAGAGGGAGGGAGGAAGGGCAAGGGAGAGAGAGAAACATCAATGCTAGAGAGAAACATTGATTGGTTGCCTCCCATACTCTCCCCAGCTGGGGATCGAACCCACAGTGTAGGTATGTGCCCTGACTGGGAACTGAACCCAAAACCTTTTCGTGTACAGGACGATGCTCCAACCAACTGAGCCAACCCGCCAGCTACACCTTAATCCCTTCCCCTCTTTCACCCATCCCCCCCACCCCTTCCCACCTGGCAACCGTTCATCTCAACAGCTAACCCATCGTAAAAACAACCACAAACAACCATGAAATCACCATGGCAGATTAGGGCTCTGACCTAGAAATGTGCTGGGGAAAAGAACCGCTTCAAACCAACACACAATATGTCAAACACACAACCAAACCAAAGGCATAACATTTACATGAAAAACGAGTCCAGGATTATTTCCTCACAGATAAAATTCAAGAGAATCAGCAAACACGGTAATAGCTGGGTACAATGAGTGACAGAAACAAAGGCAGAGATCCAGGTCAGACGACAAAAGCCAGTAACTCGGAGTCCACGACAGTCCAGAGCTGCTCACGAGCTCCTGCAGGGGCCTGGGAAACTGGCGTAAGGGACAGTCACAGCCACGCTGTGACCAGGGCGGCCTGGGTGGGACTCCGCCGCCCTCCCTCCGCGGCCAGAACCTTTCTGGTTTCCCAACCTTAATGGATATTTAAAAAGCCAGAGGTCCTCCTGCTCTTGAAATCCATTCCTCCCCCTTGTGCACTGAGCTGGAGCCCTTAGAGACCCGCCTTTTAGGTGTATTTCACTAATCCCATGAGAACCCCATCAACCTGCATTTCATTGATCCACTAAAGAATCTGGGATCAATGCAAGAATGATCATAG